GTCTCAATTGTGACTTTAGGGTGTGAGCTGTGACAGTGCATCAGGGCTTCTCTTCTCTTCTCTTCCACCCGCTATGTTTCTAGGGGACTGAACATCAGTTCCCCTCCCTGCAGAGTTGCAGCACTGGGAGATTATTATGGTCTTAAAAGTGAAAGCCTATAATTTAAGGTCATAACACCATCTTTAAAATGGAGATTGAAATACAGAGATATAAAATACATAAAGCGTCAAGATGTAGCAAATGTCTCTTCCCATTGGATTTTTCCATTTACAAGAGGGTAGTAATACCATGTGTATTTTCTCGAAATATATAGTATATTTTCCATATTGATTGTGTAGCTTTTTTATTTAAAGTGGAGCCGGTGCCCTGATAGATCCAAATTCCTTTCAATGCCTACTAAATAAAATGTTCTGGCACTTAAAAAGAAGGATAAAATAACACAAAATAAAAATTTAAAGCCTAGAAAAGAAGGCTCCAACTTTCTAATATATCAAATATTTACTAAGATATCAAATATTTCTAGAAAATAACATCTTGATGAGTTGGTTATAAATGAACATGTGGATTGTGTTTTCCTTAATATACCAATAGTTTATCATGGCAGAAATAAATGCTAAGAGCAGAAAGGATCCCCAGTGCTAGATCCTTGACTTTGAAAGCAAAGGAGCTCAAGACATTCAGCAAATTCAAAACATCCCCTTTACCCACCTTTTAAGATTGTGTTTATTTATAGTTATTTCTTATGACATTTCAAAGCTTCTTCATAATTCTAGGTATTGATTTGAAAATGCCAGTTTTCAATACTAAATAATGGTAGAATAAAATTTTCTATGAATCAATTTTTCAGCCACAAGAGGACAAACACTGTATGGAAAATGATTCTACTTTCACCAGGAAGGAAATGTCATGGGCCTCCGAATTGGGAGGGGGAAAAAAAAATCTTGCAGCAGTGCCTATTGGAAATTACCAGGAATAAATATCTTTTTTTCCTTGAAATAAAGTTCAAGGTAACATTTAAATGAATAATTATTTACCATCTTGTTAAATGCAGGCATGTATGGTGGGCACCATCTATTAGTATAAAAGCTTTTTCTGCTTAGAATGGCTCATTAGCTTTTTTGTAGGCGGTACTGGTTTTAAGATTCAAATTCAAAATCTCCTCTGATTTTGCTGTTCCATTTCTGGCAGCTGGCCAGTGGCAGATATGCATAATATTTCACTGTTAGACCTTGCAAACATTATATCCTGCTGTGCTAAAGAAAACATGTGTTTCTTACCACATGAAAATAATCCATCACTTTTCAATCAGCACACAAAAAAAGCTCTACCTGTTTTTTCCATCAGACTCAAGAAAAATTAATGGCCCCAATGTGAAAGGTGGACCCTCCATACATGATCCATTAAAGTACAAACTAATCAAAATATATCTAGCATCTGATTTGCTAAGCAAGATGGAACAAAAGAGGTGCGATGAAAAAAATAGATCCTTCTAAGACCCATACAGCCTTGTTCTATCAGTATTAACCTTATTTATTTTAAATGTGGGAGAACATAAATAAAAAAATCATGAAATGAATCCATTGAATTCAATCAATTCAAATAGACACTGTATTTATCTGGAAGAGATGGCTAAAGATACTTCATGTGGACTGGAAGAAATTTTTATAATAAAATTGTTTTTTAAAAAGTAAAGAAAGATTATAAATCCCCCAGCGGGCCACTAGACAACATAATATATTAAAGTAAAATTTTCTGTGGGAGTGAAAAAAATCAGTATTTTGTCAACTTGTTCATGCCTTTAAAAATAATTTCATGCCTTTTGCAATGCTGATGTTGTAGCTAGTTTTGAGTGAGGCATGAGGACTTCCCTTTCTAGAGCCCTACAACTTTTGTAACAATATTCTAATCAGAGAGATATCAGCCATATCAACGGAGTGCCAATTAAAAAACAATCCATTTTATGACTTTTAAACACATTTGTTGCAATTGCTTGGCCTTCTTTACTACTGCCTGGTTCTGGGAAATTATTTTCAATTTCTCTCTCCCTTTCTTTCTTTCTCATTTTCTCTCCCTTGCCCCCCTCATTTTTTCTCACTTTCTTGTGGCATGACCTGTGTCATATATAGTTTAATGAATATAATAAAAAATGCAGACAATGGAATGTAATGCTAATACTAAGAAGGTATCTATAATAGCAAATAATTTTACACAAAAGTATATTTTTATATTTTTGTAACCTCAGGTTTAGAATTCCACACTGCATTTTTAACTAGTATTCCAGTTTCTGTCTTCTTTTTTTCCATCTCAAATCCATGTTGAAACAGTCTTTACACTGGCCTTTCTAAAGCATAACTGTATTTATATCCCCTCTCATATCACAATCCCCCTTTAGTTGATGTCCATTGAATGAGAGAATAGAGTTTCAGAGTTGGAAGGCTCAAATATAATCATTTCACATATGAGCAAACAAGCTTAGGGATTTTAAGGGATTTGTCCAAAGACACGCAGTTTGTAAATGATAGCTCTGGAATCTTCAGGAGCCCCAGTACAGCACTTTCAGCACTACACAAGTGGTTCTCTCTTAGAGTAGTGCTTCTCAGACTTTAACTCTCAGACTTTAACTTAATCATCATCCTCAGATGATCTGAGGATCTTGTGAAAATGTAGAATCTGATTCAGTAGGTCTGGGGCTGGGCAGAAAATCTGCATTTCTAAGAAGGTCCTAGGGCATGCCCATGCTGGTTTGGAGACCACACTGAGTTGCAAGGACCTAAGAACTCTTTTAAATTCTTACACTGGTTTTCAAGGTGCTTTAAAGTGTAGTCCTGTGTCCCACTGTCCTGTACGAACACTCCAATATAGTTATGCAGAGTACTTGCTCGCTTATTGAATACCTTTTGAGTATTCTGACTCTTTTTTATTTATTCATCCTCCCACCTCTCTCTGCTTCTTTGCAATTGCATGTCTACACTTCCTTTCAATAGCAAAGTTATGTCCCATCTTCTCCATAAAGACTTTCTCATGACCAAACATAAAATGATCTTTGTGTCCTCTGATTATCTCTATCACTCCTTAAAAGCTTAATAAGTCAATAGCTACTTATCAAATAAAAGAACAAAACACACGTATAAGTGAATCAAATAGCAGCAGTGAATGAAGGGCATTCAGTTATACAAGGCAAGAGAAACTGAAATTCCTGAGATCTGCGGAAAACCTCAGAATTAATAAAAAAGGTTTCCTCCTTTTCTTGACTACATCTTGTGCTAAAAATACTTCTGGGTTAATTGCAGAAACTGAAGCTTAGAAGACCGTGAATTGTCATAGGGCAAGGATCATCAAAATTTGTTGTAAAGAACCAGATCATATATGATCATGTCAGCTGCATGGTTTCTATGGTAACTACTGAACTCTGCCATTATGGTAGGAAAGGAGCCATTGGTAATACGTAAACAAATGGATGTGGCAGTGTTCAATAACACTTTAGTTACAACAAGAGGCAGCAGCCAGATTGGCCTGCCTGTAGCCGTTTACCAATCACTATCATAGATGATAACCAAATCTATATTAAATAAGGAAAGAGAAAGACTTATTGAATCCACAGTTGTTAATTGTAGCTTAACTAACTCTGTAATGGGGAGCAAATCTTAAGAACTGGGTCAGTCCAGAGCAGAGAAGAGATGCACTGGGCAATGCAAGAAATCCAAGAGATTTTTCAATGAAATAATCTTTGATGGAGCCCAATCCAAATCATATTTATAACACACCCAAACCCAATTTTCAAAATCCTACTACCTTGACATAAAGGTGTGACACATAGGTCATATAATTGGCAGCACCTTGTTAGAAATGTAGAATCTCAGGCCTCATCCTTACACATTACCATTAGTGCAATCTGAATCTCACCAAGATCCTCAGATGATTCTTATGCACTTTACAGTTTGGAATTCCAAAATGAGGCATGTCAGTGATCTGCATCAGAATCCTATGGGAGCTGGGAAAAATGTCAGTTTTGGTCCAATCCCAGACCTACTTAATCAGTGTCACTGGGGATGGTACCCCAAGTTTTTAAAATATAAATCCACGTTGGAACTCTAAAACTATTGATTGTGAGCTACAAGATTGACACTAGTTGTTTCCATTCTATCCTTTCTGGCTTCGTTTTTTTGGCAGCTGTACTTGTTTTGTTAATCTCTTTCCTACTCTCTTTTTTAATTTTTAAATTAAAATTAAAATTAAAAATTTTTTACTGTTACATAGTATTTATACATATATATGAGGCACATGTGATATTTTGTTACATGCGTAGAATGTGTAATGATAAATTATGGAATTTGGGGTATCTATCACCTCAATATTCATTTCTATGTGTCAGGAACATTTCAAGTCCTCTCTGTCAGGTATTTTGAAATATACAATACATTGTTGTTAACTATAGTGACCCTACTCTTCTGTCACTGTTCCCTTTTCCAGCTCGGAATTTTTTGCTTTTCTTAACATAAGAGTAACCTTTATTTTTTCTTAATTTTTGGTCAACATGAATATATGTCCATAAAATGATATGAAGACTATTTTGTTATCTTACCAGATGGTACCAAGGTTACTCTTGTGGAGATGATTAAGTCTGTTTGGGAGAAGCTTTTGATAAGCCACTTGGAGTATAGCAGTGCAAAGGCATGCTCAAATAATAACATGGTGATTAAAATGTTTTCTAAAAATGGGAAGACCTATTAACTGCATGACCTTTTGTTTTTGCCTGGGAATATACAGGTTTGGGGTGGAGGTGAATTACTTTGGAAACTTGTGTACTTTGTTCTACTTTTTCTTCTATAAAATGCTGGTTCAGTAGAAAAAAAAAATCTCAATTGTATTAAGGGAGACAGGACTTTGGAGTGTGGTAAGTGTCATGTGGTTGTAAGATATGTGATATGAAGTATCCTGATCGTCCTGCAACATCTTCACCAAAGTCTCCACTGCTTATTATGACTCTGTTTTCTTACAGGGCTTTTCTGGAGTGAGGGAGAAGACTGAGGGAAGAACCAGAAGGCTGCCAAAATGTAAGTCATGGTGGATATGATAGACAAAATGACCAGAGAATAAGAGGAAAGCTGACATCAAGGAAATATCAATATCTGATGAGAAGATTAGGGCCACCCTAATAATGTGTTATTAATTTGCACATTTTAAGAGGAATTTACAAATCCCTCTTTGCATCAAAAACATCAGTCCTTGGGCCTATTCCCATATATTCTCATTCAGTTGGTCTGGAGTGAGACCCAGACATTCAACATTTTTTCAAGATCAGGTGAATCTGAAAGGTGCAGCCAAGATTGAGAACTAAAGTGAAGAATCTAAAATAATCCAAGCAATGCATGTTATAACTGATAAAGTAGAAAAGTACATACAGATTCAATTCCTTTCTCTTTTTTGTCTCTTTTCTTTCTTTCATCACACAAATGATTTTTAACTATTGTTCTGATAGTTTTTATTAATAAGCACTCAATAAATGTGTTGCATTCCTAACAAAGAGAGAAAAATAACATGAACCTAATCAGTTAGTATAGATTTATCTAAAATATTATAATCTATGGCTTCTTGATTATTAAAGAATATTAGTAAATAATATAAATTTAGTGGTAATATAAATATATGCACATCTGGCTTGACAGTTTTGTGAATATATATTAGTCTACATTATGTTTAAATAGCCTTTCTTTACCAAGTTAGTAAATTTCTCACAAATCATTTTTTAAGAGTCATCTTATTTTAGTGTAGGCGTTGAGGGCTTGGGATATTTTGAAAGAAATAGTACATTTAAAATGTAGACATTCATTCAATGAGTATTCTTAAACTGCTCTGTAATAACATGGTAAAGGCTACAGAGAAATGGGAAGGAAGTTCAGGTGAGCTTGAGAAGACTAAAGGTAAGCTGTATAAAGAAAAAAAATCATTGGTAATAAAGAATTCATTAATAGATCAGCTCATAGAGATCACCACCGAGTCAGCAAATCTGCAGCTGGGATTAACTGACTGCTGTGCCACAGGGTTGGCATAGCTGGGATTGACTGACTGCTGCTGTGCCACAGTTGGCATAGCTGATTGAATGACTGCTGTGCCACAGGCTGAGGGTTGGCATAGCTGGGATTGACTGACTGCTGTGCCACAGGGTTGGGCTGAGAATAGTAGGGGGGGTACTAAGTTGGATACTCCAGAAAAATCTCTCCTCATAGCTCTTCTAGCATTGGAGAGAAAATCAGAAAAATAATCTAAGGCCTTAATTTAGCACAATATTACTGGATGGTTATTCGAAACATCCCAAATGGTCAAAGAGTTTACCACAAGCGTCTTTACACAGCCATGTTTTTAGTGCTATGGTTGTTTACTTGAGAAAAGTCTTCCTAATATCCTAATTGTGTCTATATTGACATAATAGTATTGGTTTATTGAACTCATCTCTTTACATTGATAGACTTTTATAGAAAAACGTGTTATCTATATATATTCACCAAAGATTAATACACTATATTGTAACCAGTCCTATTAGAACAGATAACTATGCTCAAAAAATTTCGAGAAAGTGATTTATTTATTTTAACAGTTTCACTGAAGTATAATTGAGATTCAGTAAACTGTATGTATTGAAAGTGTGCAATTTGGTTTTTGACATGTTATACACTCATGAAACTAACTGCAATCAAGATAACAAACATATTCATCATTCCCAAGAGTTTCCTCATGCTCCTTTATAACCACTCATGCACTCCACTTCCCTGCTGAAATCTCCGCACTGTTTTCTGCCACCATAGATATCAGTTTTGTCTAACTTCTTTCACTGAGAATAATTATTTTGAGATACATCTTTGCTATTGCATGGATCAATCATTCATTCTTTTCTCGTTCTGAGTAGTATTTCATTAGATGCACAATTTGTTTATCTGTTCCCTTGTGAAGAAGAAACATTGTGGCTGTTTATTTTTGCCGATTGCAGATAAAGCTACTACGAATGTTTGTGTCGAAGTCTTTGTATGGACACCTGCTCTCATTTCTTGGGTTCGTGCAGAGAAGTGGAATGCTGGACTGCCTAGTAGTTGCATGTTTAACTTTTTAAGAAACTGTAGAACTATTTTCCAAAAATGCTGTAGCATTTTACTCTTGCGCTCCACTCCCCTGCAGAAATCTCTGCACTGTTTGTAATATGTAGGTCACCGCTTGCTGTGTTTAAGAGTTTCAGTTTCTCCACATCCTCAACAACATTTCATATGGTCAGTATTTTTAATGTTGACCATTATAATAAGTGTATATATATATATTTTAGTGGAACTTCAGGTGAGTGATTTTAAAGACTTCATTGCTAGGAAATAGGAAAATAAGAAAAATGCATTCAGTCCTCTTTTTCTTTCGGCACTGTCTTAGATATTTCAGGTTCAGTATCTGTTCCAAAACCTTTCTCTCTGCTCTACCATGGCCAAAAGAGTTCATTCACCTTTCCCCTTTGACTCTTGCAGACAATTGTGTGCCTTTAAAGGAAATAACAACAAGAATTAGGAGCGCCCTGGAGGCAAGGTAAAATTTGGCCTGTGTAATCAATCATATCTGCTTCACTGAACCATAATGACTGTGTACAGGAAGACATCTTCAGTGGGGCAGACTTGTTTCTATGAAATCCTTAACATTTTGTGGGAGAGAAAGCAGTTTTATATTTAGCTTTTAACATGCTCAGTCATAACTACTTTTCTTGGGCATAAGTGAGTTGTATTGGTGTGCAGTTATGGTAATATGTCAAAAAATAAAGATAAGTACGTCAGTAGAACAGCTGGCCTATTTTAAAAATAGTGTCTTTAATAATTCAAGCTAAGAAATAGGATCAATTGTGTAATATCCAACATCGCAATAACCATTTACAAATGGTGAATTGTGGCGGCTGCCCTCAGTTTCCTCCAGAATTATTTCCCTCAAATCAAGTAAAGTCAAAGATTCGGAGATAGATATATGACCTTGAGGAACAATTTTCAGGAAACACAAAACAAACAATATACTAGTGTCTGCAACTAGGGAAAAAAGCTGTAATGCTGTAAGGAGTCACCAAACTATAATGGTAGCCAATAAAAGTATTACAAATGCCAAGCAGATGAAGCTTTGTAAAGTAAGTCACTTTATCATCTAGTTCTTTAGTTTCTGTTTTCATTGAAGTTCAGACATGCAGCAAGTATTTTATTTAACTACTTAGGGGGTGATATTAAGTCTCTGTAATACGTGACTTTCTTTGCACACATTTCCCATAAGTCATTCCAAACTACTTTCATACAACGTAAAGGAGAAATTGGGAAAATCTTCAGTCAACCATCACACCTTAGAAAGTGATCCCTGAATTAGAATGTCCATGTTATATACTGAATATTATGACCTATCAGAGGAAATACATGAGTACCTAATCTTGAGGAAGATTATGGTCTTGATGATGAAATTGATGAGGGTGAAGAAGTTATTCATGATGATGATGATGACACTACTACTACTAATGATCATAGCACCTCACATTTTCAGGGCGCCTACTCTGGGCCAGTTTTGCATACATTATCTCATTTAGTCTTTGCAAAACCCTGTCAGGTTGGTCATATTATTATCTCCCTTTTACAGGAAAGTTCACTGAAATAAATTACATAGGCAGTATAGCACTTTGTAAGCTCTCTCCATTCTAGTCTTGTCTCTCTGTTACCACAAAAATTAATGGAACTTAGTTATAGTAATTGTTATTAACAGAAAAATTGGAGGACAGACAGTGTGCATTTTGGTTGGAGGAAGAGCTCGACAGCTCTCCACCTGGATAACAATCAGTTAATGGATGTAGATATCAGGAATAAGGGAGAAAGCTCTTCAAGCTGCAGATCATTATGCAGCAGCTCAGCATGTTTATTAATCATTGTGCACGATTAAAATGCCATTTCATCCCTCTAATTAAAACAAGTAGTTCCCTGAGGCTAGCACCTGAACTAATGAAGCCTGGTTGCCTAAGGATCTCACTCAGGGAAGGGAATTAAACAATGGAGGAAGCAGTATGTTTACCAGGTTGCCCAGACAACGTGAAACTGTATATGACATCATGAACGAGTGGACCAGTTGAGACTGTAATTTTAAAGAGCCAGAGATGCTGCTTTTTCTGAGCAAAAGCTGGATTTCAATATTGAAATTTTTCTAAATTTGTAATCGGTTGGTATCAATATACCTGAATTAGAATGTCCATGTTATATAGTGAAAATCATGACCTCTAAGAGGACAAGTATGAGGATCTAATATTGAGCAAGCTAAAAATGTTAGGTGCCATTATCATTAGTGATAGTATTGTCATCATCATTATCATCAATAACTTTTTCACCCTCATCATCAAGACCAATTGTATTGGTTGGTATATTGATACCAACCAATTGTATACTTTACAATAAATTCTAAATTTTCTTTCTTCTTGGTATGTGGAATGGGTATCTTGATGTTTGGAGAGAGGATTTTGAGGAATTCTCTATTGGCATCCAGGTATTTGGGAGGCTGAAGGGATTTTTGAAATCAGTTGACTCTAGAAATAAAAGGGTATAGATAGGTTATGGAGCCACAATTTAAAATAGAGGGTAGATAAATGGGCTAGATGAAAGAAAACCTAGGATTCAATCCCAGTATTGCCACTTGAACTGAATGACCCTGAACAAAGTCCTTAGAAAATAGAAGGACTGAACTAGGTAATCATCAAATTTTCTTCTAGTTCCAAAATTCTATGGCTTTGTGGTAATTTGTGATTAACATAACAGTGCAAAGAGATTTCATTGTATCCCAGTTCCCTTACAAGTTTGGCTGAATCAAGTCTTGCTTATTCTTTCCTTCTAATTCCTGTTCAGCTCACCAGCATATCTTTGGTGTCTGATACTATACTTGGCATATAGAAGTTGCTTAATTAAATATACATGGAAAATATCAATCAGGTTAAACCTACAGATCTCAGTAATACACAGCTTTCAGTGCCTTGCTTCAAATATTTAGGAGCAACCCTACATATGATTCTGCATTATTTATCTGAGAAGTGGCAAACCTGAGGGTTATGAAAGCTGCTTTCATTTCAGCCCGTCTGTGAACTGAGTTTTGTACAATTCTGTACTTGACAGATTGGATTAAGAAAATGTGGCACATATACACCATGGAATACTATGCAGCCATAAAAAAGGATGAGTTTGTGTCCTTTGTAGGGACATGGATGCAGCTGGAAACCATCATTCTTAGCAAACTATCACAAGAACAGAAAACCAAACACCGCATGTTCTCACTCGTAGGTGGGAACTGAGCAATGAGATCACTTGGACTCGGGAAGGGGAACATCACACACCGGGGCCTATCATGGGGAGGGGGGAGGGGGGAGGGATTGCATTGGGAGTTATACCTGATGTAAATGACGAGTTGATGGGTGCAGCACACCAACATGGCACAAGTATACATATGTAGCAAACCTGCACGTTGTGCACATGTACCCTACAACTTGAAGTTTAATAATAATAAATAAATTTAAAAAAAAAAAAAAAAAGAAAGCTGTGGTCTCATGTTGCTTCCACTTGTACTAGGCAAGAAGCCATGGCTTATTCTTCCCATTTTCTACCTGTCATCCCTTTAGTCGCCTTGATTCCCTGATATCCCAGAAAAATAGTCATGCCTGGAAGTTGGAGGAACTTAGGAGCATTGGTTGTTTTTTTTTTTTTTTTTTTTTTTTTTTTTTGGAGATGGAGTCTTGCACTGTGGCCCAGGCTGGAGTACAATGGCGTGATCTCGGCTCACTGCAATCTCCACCTCCTGGGTTCAAGCAATTCTCCTGCCTCAGCCTCCTGAGTAGCTGGGACTACAGTTGCATGCCGCCACACCTGGCTAATTTTTTGTATTTTAGTAGAGATAGGTTTTACTGTATTGCCCAGGCTGGTCTTGAACTCCTGAGCTCAGGCAATCCACCCGTCTCGGCCTCCCAAAGTGCTAGGATTATAGGCATGAGCCTCTGAGCCTGGCCGAGCATTGGTTCTTATTTTTTATGGATCATAGAGTTTCATGAAAATCTGATAAATTTCATGAAATCTTTCATCAGAAAAATGTGTAGCATGATTTTGCAAACAATTGTGGGTTATGAGGTTCACAGAGTTTTGGAAGCTCATCTATGGAGCTCGGGTTAAGTTAAGAACTCTTATTTTAAAGGGTTATGTAAGAATTTCTAACAGTCCTTTAGGGGGCCTATGTCTCTCCTCCCTTCTTGCCTCCCTCCAGCATGTGAAGAAAGATGGCCAGCTAACAGAAAAATAGATTTTTTGTTTGTTTGTTTGTTTCCTTGTTGCTGTTTTTTTTTTTTTTTTTTTTTTTTGGTAGAGACAGAATATGCATGTGCATGTCAATGGCAAGTTGTTCTTTACAGTGTGGCCAGTAGACTCCAGAATGAGGCATAATAATTTCAGTTATTTCCTCTTCTACCTTCTTTATTTATAACCAGGCATCTGGCTTTGATGTATTTACTTTAAACAAAGTAAAAGGACAACAGTGAGGTGGTAATAATCACACTAGTAAAAAAAAGGCAAAGCAGAGAAAAATGTTAGGGCCTTCATTTTCTCACACTGTTCATCCTATTCTTCGTGCGAGAAATATGTTGGTAACTGGAAATTACAAGCTCAAGTTATCCAACTTATGAATCTAAGAATTTAGTCTTTCTGTTTTTGAAGAATTGTTCATATGTTGAACCTAAATCTTTCTTTCCAAACTGAAGGTCAGTTTCTCTTGTACATCATAGTAGGAAATGTAACTTGGTCAATAAGACATCCAGAAACTAGCAGAAATCAGCCAATAACTCAGATTTAAGTGGCATGATAATTGGGTTTCCTAAGCATTTTTTGGTATTAAAACAAGTTAATCAACCATAAAACACAAACTCATCAGAATCTAAGGTCTTATTCAATTAACTTCTGGCCTCAAACACTTAAGTGTTTTTTTTTCTTTCTTTCTTTCAAATCATTATGTCATATTTTGCCAAGAGAGAAGAGATAGTCTGGAGTGAAAAATTCCAAAGATGGAATAAGAGCCAATCCTTTTAAACTGTATCATTTTATCCATGATTATTATTTTTAGTAAAAATAAAAACAAAAGTTTTCTTCTTGCCCAGAAAGGAGATGAAATCTTAAACTTACAAGTTGAAACAGAAGGACTGAAGTTTTGTAGTTTTTTGTTTGAAGTGACCCTTGTATTCTTATATTTACTCAAAACATTGGATAAACTAGAAATTTGGGAGGCAAAATAACTATTAATATAATACCATCAACACATGATTTTCTGCCTAGATGCTTTATTTTAAGTTGATTTACAACTGCTTAAAATCTTTTCTTGGTATGAAGATCATAAACTAATGGTTAAAATAGGCAAGTGTAAACCTTTACTAGTCCTCAAATCACAGCTTTAGCTTAAGCTTTCCTGGATGTGAGCCTATAAGTTGGCAAACTACTGTGGTAGAGTTAAGAGAGAAAAGGAGGCTTTTTCCCCCTTTTTATCAGACAAAACTGGGTTAAAATCCCGTATGCCATATATTTAGCTATCTGACCCTGGGTAAATTATTTAATCTCGCTGAGCCATGGTTTTCAGCTGTAAAGCAGTAGGAAAAACATTCTTCTGATAAGGTTCATGGTAGGCACACTGATTTAAAAAATCAGTTATTTCCCTATTCCTTGAATTGTTATTATACTTGGATGATGTCACTATGACTACAAAGGTAGCAGAAAAAATGCAATGACTCTATGAGATAGTTAAAAGATCAGGAAAGGCAGTGGGTCAAAATTTTGGTAGACAACTCGAGAGTTAGGACATAGCAGAATCTGCATTGCTTAACACTGAGGCCATGTTCTGAGAGATGCATTATTAGTCCATTTTGATATTGTACAAACATCATAGAATATCCTTACAGAAACCTAGCTTGTATAACCTCCTACACACCTAGGCATACAGCCTGTTGCTCTTAGGCTACAAAACTGTACAGCATGATACTATACTGAATACTGTAGGCAACTGTAGCACAATGGTAAGTATTATGTGTATCTAAACATAGACAAAGTAATGCATTGCATGAGGACTCTATGATGGCTATGACATCATTAGGCAACAGGAATGTTTCGGCTTCATTATAATCTTATGAAACCATTATTGTATATGAGGTTCATTGTTGACCAAAACACCATTATGTGGGGCATGACTGTAACTGGCTTCTAGATGTGAGAATGGGCCACTGGGCAAGAGTACTCTTTGGTGTCTATAGTCAGGGTTGGCAACGAGAAATCTAGGGGGTTGAGTATGTCTGGTTAAGTCTCAGAGCATCATGTGGCCAGCCAGGGAAGGAATAAAGGAGTCAAATATTCATTCATTCATTTACTCAAAACTAAATACTGAGAACCTGCACTATTTCTGGTAGTGGAGTGGTTTATTGTCTAGCTGGGGAGACAGAAAACATACACACATAAATTATAATGCACTATGATAAGTGTTAGAGATATTAACAAAGTCTTTTGAGAACAGAGAGAACAGAGCACTTAACATTTGAGAAGTTGAGAAAGGTTCTTGGCTCACTAAATGTTTATGCAATGAGGGAGGAATATTTAGTCTGGGTGTTAAAGGATGAGTAGAAGTTTGCCAAAGGGAAGATGCAGTAAAAGAAAATTGTAGTTTGAGGGAAATAGAATGGATGTAGCTTGAAATTATAATGGTCTGATGTATAAAGGGAATGACGCCAAATTTAATAGACAGTTAAGAAAGTTGCATAAAGACGGAGGTGAGCTCAGATTGGGAACGTTTTTAATATGCTGATTCTACTTATATTGTATAGGTAAATGGAGAGCTATCAGAGGTTTACTGAAGTGTTGGATGACATGATAAGTTGGTTTTAAAGGAAGATGACTCTAACAGCAGGTTCAGGATGGGCTATACTGAGAACAATCAAGTCACAAAGATATTAGGAAGCTCATTGATTTAATAAATACTGTAGTCATTTTTGGAGGAGTGAGGAATAATCATACGAAACACATCTAAAAATATCTTGAATTTTGCCAGATTTCTAGCTTACAAAGTATTCTTATACCCACTACTTCATTTATTCTCTAAATAGCTCTGTGAAGTAAACATTATTATTATTAGCATTTATATTTTGTAGATGAAGAGAGTGAAAATTAGAGAAAATAAAAGACAACCATCTTCCAGTTACTAAGTGGGATGCTGGGATTAGATTAACTCAGGTATTTGATCTACAACATCATTGATTTTTTTTCTATCATACAGTTGCTCGGAATCCAATTGAATTTTCCAGTTGAGCATGAAAATTATATTGTTGCAAAAACAGCTGCAATAATTTACCTACCTGAATCAACATACTTGGGTATCTCCCTTCCATTCTGATTCTGGACTTACCCATATGACTTACCTTCTTAAGTGGGACAATAGCAAACATGGCTAAATTGGAGACCTGAAAAGTATTTGTGCAATGGGGCTTGCCCTTTCGTGATACACTTTGGAACCCTCAACTTACCATGTGAAGAATCCTTGGCTTGCCTGTTATATAATGAGACATGTGGCCAGATTATCCCTATTGCTCCACCTGAATTCAAGCCAACTACAAGACATGTGCATGAGGCTGTTCTAGATCATCCAGCCCCAGATAAGCCAACTCAGCCCAGAATCACCCAGGTGATGCAGAAGTTGTTTATTGTTTTAAGCTATTACGTTTGGGAATTATAATGCAGCAAATACCAATGAATAGTCTATTTCTGCAAATGCCTTTGTACCTACAGATATTTGAACAAAGCGACAAAACAACAACAACAAAATTGTATTGGAAATATCCAAAGGTTTTATTTCTACCATCCTGAGCAGTGATTTCTGAACTCGGCCACATGAGAATTACCTGGACACTTGTTTAAAAACTCAGATTCTTCCGATCACCCTAGACTCCCCTAACTCAGTATTTGCATGGCAAGAGCTTGGAAGGTTATGTTTTAAACAAGTTTCACAGTGATTCTTACATTTACTAAAATTTGAATTTAACTATTCAAAAGATATTATTTTCCTCACCCAAATACTCTTTCATGAATGTCTTTTACTAATGTGGTAGGTCACCTGGAAGTTAACTTTTAAACCATGACTGAAGAATCATAGGATGGGCACAGTGACTCATGCCTGTAATCCCAGCACTTTGGAAGGCTGAGGTGGGAGGATCACTTAAAGCCAGGAGTTCCAGACTAGCATGGGCAACATGGCAAGACTCATCTTTACAAAAATTTTAAAAAAATAGCCAGGTGTGGTGGCACACACCTGTAGCCTGTCGTCCCAGCTTCTCAGGAGGATCGCTTAAGTACGGGAATTTGGGACTGCAGTGAGCTATGATCGTGCCACTGCATTCCAGCTTGGGTGACAGAGCAAGACCCTGTCTAAAAAAAAAAAAAGCAAACAAACAAACAAACAAACAAACAAAAAACAACTAAACAGTAACAACCCAAAGTTGGTTTGTTTGTTTTTCTCATAGTGTTATTCTCTGTAGTCTCTATAGATTTATAGCATAAGAAGAACCCAAAACTTAAATAGGGACTAAAATCATGTTACTAAAAATTGGCAAAAGTGTATAAGTTAAATATTTACTTTTATACCAAGGTTATGCTACTAGTGAAGAACAGAAATGATATGGGGAAGAAATGAAGAGGAATGTGATAGGTAGAGATACTCTGCAAGAGAGGAACAGGAGGCTTAGTCACTGGGGAGTGTATAGTCTCTCAAAGGAAAGTGAAGATGAAGAAAAATAAAGAGAAAAAGGAGCAACAAGAAAAATAGGATGGACTTGCTAAGGCGTGACCCTAACATAGTTTAAGATTAATACTTACTGTGGATGTCTTGAGTTTCTTTCGTGGATTTATACAGTAACACAGAAACAAGATTCATGAGGCATAAAAGAACACTACAATGCCTACGTAAGTACTGGTGTCTCCTAACCAACGGAAAGGGGAGCTGAGAGCTAACTCCCAGTGAATGAGGGGGTCTGGTTACACTATGAGCTCAATTAAGAGAAAATCAACTGGCTCATTATTATACACAAGGACATTCATTCTTCCAAGTGAGGAGAATGATTACAACTTGAATAGGAAAGCCACAAACCACTAATCAGGGTATCTCAGGTTTGACCTATTCAAGTATATTCCAAATTACCCAATTAGCTGGATTGCCAATAAGTTTCTCATAGCAGTTATATTGGCACTGATGATACCATAATCAGTTGTTTTAATCAAGCCTTTGAAAACAAAAATGATGGGCTGAATATAGTCATAACAAGAACTGGGAAATTAGAGCCACCAGGTCACTGCTGTTGGGTTACTCCACATTCTGCTCTAGTAACTGTTGCTAGAGGATGGTGTGAGCTTTATTTGGTTTGGTTTTTGTATCTCTCCTCCCTCCCCCCATCCGCAACACCCAAGCTCAGGCTTTGTCCCCAATTCCTACTGTCCTAGCCTCCCTTCAGGGGCTAGCATTGCTACTTGAGTGACCTGCACTTCTGTTTTTTCCTGACTCTGAATCCACTGACCCTCTTGAGCCATATCTTGGTAACCTGGATTCTTAGCCATCTTTTTTCTTTTTTTTTTTTGCTACACCTTAAGGTTGAGCTGGGCCTATATTCCCTAAATCATAGAGGAGGAAAAATGAGAAACCTGCCCACCCTCACCCACTCCTCCACTCCCACTGACTTTCCTGATTATTACAGAGTGATGGAGTACTTTGTATTTCTTGGCCAGCAATGGTTTGAGGGCAGGAACTGCTCATTCTTGTAGCTCCAGAATACATACCTGGCAAATAGTACATACTTAACAATTGTTTGATGAATGAGCCAGTAAATAAATGGGAAAAAATGAAGTTTGAGATCATAATTCAACAGGAACCCTGTCAGTCTTGTTTATTCTTAATAGAACATAAAATGATGTCTAGAACATTTGTGCTCAAGAAATACTTTTTGAAAGAATGAATGGCTATGAGCAGTATTTTTTTGCTCTTTCTAATGGAAATCTATTGAGTTCCATATTTGGATTGAGGTCAGGATGGAGATAAGGGAACAGTCACAAGCTGCAGGGCAGGGATTAAGAATTCGGTAATATTTCACTAGAATCTCAGAAACCTTAAAACTGTAAGCTGACTAGGTGTCAGGATAATCTTGTGGAGGTCATTGGCCTTTCTTTTGCCTATGGAAAGGGGATTTGAATCAATCCTGTCAAGAGGACTGGGTTACCCAATTATAGCACTGTCATAACAAGGTACAATGCTGTGGGAACAAGAAGGCTGAATGATTGTTTGGGAAAGTTGAAGAAAAGGCCAAAGAGAATACTACATTTAGGCAGGTCCTTTTAAGCATTGTTGGCAAACATGCATGCAGAAGTTCAAGAAACTATTTGTCTTGATTTGGGTTTCCATAGATGCAGACCCTGAGACAAGCATTCAAGTATGATTGATTTCTTTGGAAGATGGTCCCAGGAAGTGCTGGCAGGAAAATGGGAGAGTGACTCAGGAAGGAAAGAAGACCATGAAGTTGTGGTATCAAGTCAGTTACCTACCAGCAACTGGAGGTCGGGATCTCCAGAAAACTCTGGTAGGCAATGGAGGACGCTCATCAATTATTCTCACTAAAGTACCAAAAAGTGGAGCCAATCATCCACCAACTTCTTGCCTTGGTTGAAGACATTCACTCTTCCCTTGCCTTGCAAGTAGGTCAAGCATGCTTCCTGGGCAAAAAGGATCCCTGGACAGAGCATCACTCAGTCCACTGTAGCTCCTGATTAAAATGCAATAAAACTAAAATCAATACAGCACCGGCATACCTTGATACCATTTTTGCCTTTGCAACTTATTCCATTCTTCCTCCTCCCTGCCTTCATCCTGAGCTCTATAATAACAAAAGATAGTTAAGGAAGGCATTGCCCCTTTTGTTCTTGCTCAACCAAGACCTGAAGCAGAGTTGGATTACTTCCACAGAGCAGGGAGATTGAATTTCATTTTGCTAGGAAAAGAGGTAAGTTTCCATGAAGAAATATCCTCCCTGATGCCCTTCACCCCTTCTCTGACCCTGCACCTGCACAGAAGAAAAGAGTGATCATTTCCCTAGACCCCTGGGTAATTGATTCTCTTTGGTGTCCTCTAACATTTCTGAGACTGCTTCCATATCCTGGACTCTAATCTATCTGCTTAACTTTCTGGAAGCAATGCCATTTCATCGTGAACTACTTAAGGGCAATGTTTGAATTTTTTTGGTGCCAACTTTGTATCCTTTACACCTTGGACATAAAGCATGCTTAAAAATATTAGTGTTGCACGTGGGACATAAAGGGTGATTAAAGATATTATTTTGGATGGACGAATGGATAAATAATGAATGAGTGAAGAAGTAAGTGAATGACTGCCCCTGTCCCCTATGATATTCTGGTGACTGGCTTGGGGATGAGTTTGCTTCGCCATCCTGATCCTTGTTCATTGCTTCAAGTTATTCACTATCTGTTCCCCAAAACCACTAGGGTATTACTGCTCAGGACACCAGCTTTTGCAGAACTGCATCTCAAACCCCAGTTTTCACTCTTCTTCGCACATCTCACCTTCTCAACTCTTCATTTGCTTTCCCTGCCCTTTGGTATGCAGGCCCTTGCAATAAGGTAAGATATTGATTAATAATAAGCTCCGGTAAGCTCCAGTCAAATTTTATTAAAACGTTCTTTTGAGGGATATTTTTATTTTAAAAGATGGTGCCAGGATGATCCTAAAAGATGCCGTTTCTGAGTTTGCAAAGTGGTTAGGAAATATATTCTGGAGCTGGTCCCCCTGCTATGCCCTAATTCTGCCATACAATCACCTTCCTCTCTCTTCTGTGGACAGAGATTGGGCATGGGGGTGTGGCTTTCCTGCCCCATCATCTGTAAATAAATTATATTCCTCTGTGACCATTGCCTATCTTATTTCCCAACAAGAAGATAAGATGTGGTTTGGGGATTTCAACTCCCAAGTTCAGCTGTGAGGCCTATGGACTGAATCTTAAGCTTTTTCTTGACATCAGATATCTCCATGTATATGGCAATTCCTGCCACAGAACTCTACTCTCAAAAAAGCCCCAGCACCCCTGAGGTAAATGTCTGAAGAAAGGATGTGGGTGGGGAACTGGGGAGGTGAGATTTTAACCGAGGGTATCATATGAGTATCACAGAGTAGTCCCAAAATGAGTAAAAATGACCCTAAAGTCCTAAAAATGACCATAAAGTTCATACATATGTGAAAAGAAAATGGGAGAGAAAAATAAGACCACCGTCTCTGGCAAGAAAAGTCTGTGGGATCAGAGGGTTTAGGTTTACAAGAGTCAAAAGGAACCCACACCTGAGTATCTTGAGGATGGCACATTGGTGGATAATGACCACATAAACTAAATTTTTCTCACAAACAAAAAGAACTTGAGTAGTGACAGATGATGGCATGGAGAGGGCTTAGGGTTATAGGAGGGAGAAGAGTTGTGAAATTAGCAAGGAAACAGGTTTTTCCTTAAAAAATGACAGTGAGCTATCTTAATTTTGGTGGATCACTTTATGCAAGGCCTCACAAAATCTTACTTGCAAAATTAATTCAAATTAGATATGAGCATGGTCATATGTATTGAAACCTAGCTTGTAGTAATAAATGGAACAGGGCAACAGTAAATGACAATATATCACGGGGAAAGGAGATTTTTTTTAGTGCAGGGCTTGGAGGCCTGGTATTTTGTCTGGTCTTATTTAACATCTTCATTAATGATCTGGAGGAGGACGTAAACAATAATACAATAATAAAATCTGCACATCAAAGTTGAAAAACAAACCCTGATGAAGTCTGAAAAGTAATGTAAAGGAATCTTAAGGCATCAGAAATTGAATCAGAAAACAAAATGAAAGCTGAATGGAAAGGAAAAAGATACATGCATATATACACATAATCTTAGTCTAAAAGATTATATACACAATCTTATTGTATAATAATTATATAATTAATTATATTACATATTAATTACATATAGTAGTGTATTATATGTATAAAATCTTCTAAACATTACAGTAAACAAAGATATTCTTTTTGAAGAAAATCTAGAAAGCAATACATGTGTCAATATTGGAAAAGATTTTACAAGAGCATGGGGCAAAAAGTGCCTCAAGAGCGCACATGGCTGGTGTGGCCACACAGAGCAATAAAATGTCCATCTGGTGGGAATTTTGGGAAATCCAAGTTTTCCCTCTTCCGACACTTCCAGACTCTCATGTTTCTCTATTGAACATGCACACAAATGAATGTGCACTTCCTGCAAGAAAAGAAAAAGCTTTTTTTTTTTTTTTTTTGCAGTTAGGCATATTCTAATCAACATGAATTTTTGCCAATTATTACTACTGTTAGAAAAAAAATTGTTCTTGTGTCTATACAAGATACAGTCTTTAGAAGTAATGTGTAAAGTATGTAATTCCAGAAAGAAAGGACCCAAATTAAATTTCTCAAGTGAACTGAATGCTATCAAATATACCACAATTTTATTAATCTCTCCCTTTTATGTAGGCCAATCTTCCTCAAACATTTTGATCTCATGTCACCTTTACACTTAAAATTATTGAGGACCCTAAAGAGCTTTGATTTCTGTCAGCTACAGCTATCAACATTTACCATATCAGAAATTAAAGCACAAAAAATTAAAATATTTATTATTTTATATGAAGTAACATGAAACAGTACATAATAACACACTGTATTTTATGAAAAAATCTTTTTTTAAACAAAATAATTAGTAAAGAAATGGCATTGTTGTACATTTTGACAAATCTTTTTCGCATTTGGCTTAATAGAAGACAGCTGGACTTCATATCAACTTCTGCATTCAATCTGCCGGACATGTTTTGTGGTTGAAATAGATGAAGAAAATCCAGCTTCACATAGACATGTAGTTGGAAGAGGAAAAGCAATGCAGACCCCAATCCTATTTTACCTCCAACTGCATGAGAATAACCTTTCACAGCATGGATAAGTCTAAGTGCTTGGGGTTTGTAGTGAGATTCTAAAACACCTTCAAATCTAACATCTACAGTCTAATAAAGGCACCATTCTAAGAGGTCAGACTGGACAGCACTTTTAAAAATAAGAAATAACTAGAAAAGAGCTCTTGGGCTTACTAGCTTACCAGCTGGTATGAAATTGAGTATATTTTACAAATGTACATGTATTGTTACCAATAGGAGCCCAAGTAAAGCATTTGCAATGCTGAATTCCTGATTCACATTAACACTAATATGGAGGTGACAAAACCTGAAGGTTACGCAAGGATAATATCTGGAACATAAACCACCAAAACTCGGAAACTGGGTTATGTTACTAAAGGAAGTCCAAGGGCAAACAATAACACTATTCTGTAGAACAATAAGCTCAGAGAAATTCTTTAAAAGGGTTCCAAGTCAGACCATTGGATCCCCTTTCAGCCTGAATTGGCCAATCAGTTTGGCAAATATTTTTACTGTGCTCATGACTAGTTTGAATGACTTGACCAAATAGTTGTTTTGGCATTCTCTAAAATATTACCAAAGGATTTGACATGCAATTCTGGTTATGCAACTACTTTGCTTGCTCAGATTTCTTCAAAGGCTTCTCTTTGTGGTGTGCTCCAAAAATCACATAGGAGGAGTTTTTAAATGCAGAATTCCAATGCCCATCCCCAGTCTACTGATCTCTAGTTTTGAGGAAAGTGAGTTCTGGGAATATACATTTTTAAGTTTTTCCACAAGTGAGTCTTTTCGTACTCAATTTATAGACAGAAATCTAATAATTGTAGGATCACCTACAAGGTTCTTCATGATGAGTCTCCAAAGTTCCCAGTTTAATTTGACGTCACTCAGCTCACAAAATACCCACACATTCTCCAAATGTGCCTCATTTTCTCATATCTTTTTTGCCTTTGACCCTGTTCCTTCCTTAGTAATAGTCTTTATACTCAGTCTTAGGTATGATTTGGCCACCTTTTATTCCTTTTTCAAGAGTCAGGTCCATATCACCTCTTCTGTAAAGTCCTCCCTGTTTTACCAAGGAGCATGCTTTCTTATGTTTGTGCCTTGTACCTCAACTACCATGTTGTAAGATTTATCCCTTTATAGAATAAGGTCCATTTACTTGATCACATCTCTGTTAGCTCCTTGGGGGCATAAGTTATATTTTTTGACTCATATATCCCGAACACTTAGCTCATTACTGGAACATTGTATATGCTAAATAATTTTTTTTTTTGAAAATAAACGAATGATTGAGATTAGCTCTGGGTGTAAAATCTCTCTTTGGGAAGAAATGAGACATACGTTTCGTGGCAAGTGTCTTTTGGAAAAAAAACCTCCTCAATAACAACTGTGTTTTATTCTAATACATTAGTGATAACATAAATATTAAAAGGCAACCATACTTCCTAGGAAATATAATGAGAAGGGGAAAATTCTGACAGCACATATCAACTTTAGTCTTTTTCTTAAAAGTTTTTTTAAAAAACCACTTTATTGAGATACGATTGACATATGAAAAGTTGCACATATGTAACATATACATTTTGATGAGTTTGGGATAATTATATACCTGTGAAACCATCAACATCAAGGCCATAAACATGTCCATCATCTCTCAAAGTTTCCTCTTACCGTTTTTATTATTATTGTTGTTGTTTTAATTTTTTTCTTTTAGTAAATTTTTCTTAGTTGTTGGCAGAAAGTTAAAAACAGAAGGAATGCTACACACACACACACACACACACAAAGAGGTCATTGTATATAAAACTAGCTAATGTAAATCAACTTTGCACAAATAACATGAGATGGGAAAAGGGGAGCCGCCACACCCCTTCAAGGTAGGAAGTGTCATTAGTATGCAAAGCAATAAACAATGGATTCCAAAATCAAAGTCAAAACAGTAATAAATCAGAGTGATAAGGTGAAAAATGATGGGATAAGCAGCAGTAGTGGCTATTAGTATGTACACCTGCTGGTGAGACAAAGCAATCCAGGAAGGTGCTTGGGAAATATTCCAATGCTGAGACCAAGAGCAAAGACGTTACTTTGAAATGGTCAAGGGATGAAGTGGAGTTCGGGATCCTTTGAATGTTTTCGTAAGGTCGGAATGGAAAACCCAGTTGACTCAGAACCCTTTTAAATGACAAATGAGCTCCCGGTAGTCTTTTTAAGGGGCAAGTTGATCAGCACTTTCTGAAGTTTTCTAATAATACAGGCCCATTGTTTGACTACTCCTTCGGTTATGTTGACATTTTGTGACCTAGGATCGTTAAGATGATAGTTAGAATTGTGTCCAGAGAAATAAAGCACTCTTATCATGTCAGAATATTCTAGACCTGTGACCAAATAGGCCAGTTTCACTCACACCTACTTGCCATAATAGTATCAAGATAGGAGTATGTGAGGCCTCCAAAAGCATCATATTTTCTAATTCTAGTGCTGCCTGATGATGTTGGCTTGACTCTTTTCAGAGGGATTCACTGTTTTCATTTTTCATCCTCAAGCTACCAGCAACCACAGAAAAGTCATTCCTGGAGTCTCCTGATCGGAAAGATAGAAACATTGTACATGAACCTTGTATATTAAGTTTTCACAAATCAATCAGACTCATTATGACTTTTTAAGAATATAATTCTACAATTAATCTGATGTTTGAATCAGTGTAAATTAGTAAAATGCAGATTGTTATTTCAATAAATATTGTGATGTTATTTAATATCCAAACTTATTGGTAAAGAATAGAATGACCCCAACATGATTAAAATATTTGTGAAATATTCCATTTTTGAATACTCCCAGAGCAAAATCAAATTTACAAATGAATCAGTGTAATAATGGGAGAACCTTCTAAGTAACACAGGTAAATATCTTTGCAGTTCCTATTGTGTAGGTGAAAACTCTCCCTTTTAATTCTCACAGTAAATATATAACATGGAAATAAAATGTTTAGCATATACCAAGGAATAACAATAGCTTACATTTATTAAGGCCTTCCTATGTGCCAAGCACAATGGTATTCTTATCATTCCCAGATGCACAAGAGGGTTCAGGCAAAGGCATTGCAAGGGTAACAGTATGTCCAAGTCCAGAGAGAGAAAGTAGAATCTGACCTACTTTCAAATAACTTGGAAATATGATTTTCCCGTAAATGCTATTTCTTTGTGTTTTACTTTCATATAAGAGTCAGGCTAGAGCCTGTGTCTGATTTCTGTATCAGTCATTCTTCTTGCCAGCTGTTTACCAGTCACGATTGATGCCTTTTTTTTTTTTCTGTCCCGAACAGAGAATTTCAGAATTTTCCGAGCTGGATTAATTTCTTTCAGTTCTTTGCTTTACTTGTCTGGCTGCTCTGAAAGCAAATCTAATTTGATCTTGGCCTCACCCCTTTGTCCTTCACTGTCACTTTTTGATCCTTTAGCCCTTTCACACTGCCCAGTCTGCAACAACTACAACAACAACACAACAACAAACTAGATTTGTTGCATTATAATAAATAATGCATTATTTAGTTACAGGAAATTTTCATGTAACAAAACATAAACAAGTATGTAATGAACAGAATCTCTTCTTTGTAGTGATTAAACTTAGCTGTCAGGGATTTATTTCCTACATGTTAACCACAGTGCTAGAAAATAAAGTATAGGAGTGGAACATAAATATCAAAAAATTACTTAATGAATACTGTGAGGAAGCTAAGACATCAGCTGAATCAGGAGAAAGCATTGCTGATTGCAAATCATTAGACTGCTTCTCAGCTGAGCAAATTCTTCTATAAGCCATAACTCACAATGGGGAGTACCTGCAACAGCCCAACTCCTACATTTACACCCTGAAGGTGCTTAGGGTTTAGAGGTGCATATATTGCCTGATGAATGTCCATCTATGGCTAAGCAATGCACATGCATGTGTATATGTGTGTGCGTATTTGTGTATGTACTACAT